GATAGGCTGCTTTGACTTTTGCCACAGGTACCTTGAGGGCAGTGGTTGGTGCCCACCTCAGGGTATCAGTTGTCGGGCAGTCGTTGATGCTTAAACCACCGCTGGGGTTAAGGTGGATTATCACGTACAGTGTAATCAGTTAGGGGATTCTGGAGACTGTTGAGGGAGGGTTCAGCCTCCTGATGAGTCGGTGAAACTCCGACTAAACAGTTTGCCACAGCCCCTCGTTTGTTGTCCTCTTCTCCCTCTCTGCCTACAGGCCAGGTGTGGAAACTGGCCTTCCCCCTCCCTTCTGCAAATCCCACACAGTGGTGGGAAAAATTTGGAAGAAGGGGGTAGTTGCCCAATAGCGACCTGTGCCCCGCAAAGCTTCACAGTCAAAGACTCAAAACCAACAATTTCAAAGTCGTGGAGTCGTATGGACCATCTTTCCCCCCAGTGCAGCGTATGATCATTATGCCTGTATTTGGGACAACTTTTAGTCTAGATGCAGCGATAATGACCGTACGTTTCTATACTGCTCCTCCGTAGCCGTGTAGGTCTTCTTCCTCGCCCTCAGCTCCTCGTTCTTCAACCCGGAGCTCCACCTCACTCATTCTTCAACCGGATCAGCACAGGCCAGAAAGACAAGCTACCAGGAAGCAGACATTCAAGAGAGATTGGCTGCTAAAGGGCAAGGTGGCTACGATAGTGGAATCAGTGGATAACAGATTGAGATGGAAGAAATGGTACCAGGCACAACCACGACGACTATACGGCTGTACCGGGCTATCTGGCAGAAGAGCCGGCTTGGCAATAAACAACAGCACTCAAAGGATAGAGAGAAGGTTAACGGGGACCCTAATTTTCAGAGCACTTGCCATTCCATTTATAAGAAAAGCAGAGATGGTCAAGGCCAAGCAACACAGCTTGTAGAGGACCCTCCCACTTTTCTCGATGTGCAAGGAATTATCTGACAGGCTCTGCATAGAAGCCTGAGAGGAGCACAAGTGGCGGTCAGGACAAGCTGACAATCACTCCTCCTTAGTAGGAGTAATCAATGGTGGTCGGGGTTCCTTCGGCCAGACGGGAGGAAGCGTGAGTGTGTACTATGATTTATGTATTCAATTTGACTTGCCGGGGGAATAGGCACCGGACTGACGCTCCCCAGAACGGATATGGAGCGAGGGGCCCAGGACCATAAGGACCTGTTTTTTTTCCTTAAAAAAAAAAAAAAAAAGGGAAGACCTGGAGGCCGGCAATTCCAGCACAACACAAGAGGGAATACAGGGGCCGCCACTCCCCAGCTTCGGCTAGCGTTGGAAACCGGGTCCCCTTTAGTTAAGCAAAAGCTTCAAAACGGAATGAAATGAGAAATGCACGTCTTGTTCGACCTTCCCAGTGCACTTTCCCCTCTCTGATAATGGGAGAAAATTTCATAAAGTGGTATATAGTCGAGCGAGCTTGTATCTGACAGCCCTTCGGGATTCGGGATATCCGCTAAAATTGAAATGATGCAGAGAAGGTACTACACACAAATTGAGAAAAAAAAGACGAAAAAAAAAAAGAAAAGAGATTGCATCTGAGTGGTGTGGGGGCAGAGTTCAAATACCTGCAGGTCTGACAGATCATCAGCCGTGCGAATGTAGTTGTCGGTGATGGTCAGATTCATCAGTTTTGGACAGTGAGACAGGTTCCTGACCTCTGTTATCTGCAAAACAGGAGGCAAAACAGAGTGCACCGGGCCATCAGAAAACAGTCTTGAGTTACGAATTTGAAAATTTGAACTTGTGATGATTATCGACGTGCCCAGCTCAGTTGTTGCCTGTGTGTGTCAGCTCCATCTCAATTGTTGAAATATAGATCTGTGCATGGACATAGATAAAGGAAATCAAATACTTCTGAATTACCTGAGGCTAGTCATTTCGACAAGGATATATCAAGCCTGTCGCCCTTAAAAAAAAAAGAAAAAAGAAAAAAAAAAGACAACCCAATAAGCCCATGTTGTTTGAAAATATATACATAGTCAAACAGAGCTGCCCGGTAAACCGTAGGCAGAGAGGGAGAAGAGGAAAACAAACGAGGGGCTGTGACAAACTGGTTCGTCGGAGTTTCATATGATCATACAGCCCATACATACACAAAAGAAACGAAAAGGAAAAAGAAAGGATGGACAGACTTAATCATACTGCTATTCACATTGCAGGCTCTCTCTCTCTCTCTCTCTCTCTCTCTCTCTCTCTCTCTCTCTCTCTCTCTCTCTCTCTCTCTCTC